ATTTATTTATTTTTTTGCTAACCCTGCCCCCATTTTACCGATGTTCACAAGTAAATCAACAGTTAGGGACACATATATAAAAAGTCAGAATTTTCCAAAAGTGATGAGGGAGGGGTGATAAACTATTAATTATTTTTCTTCTTTCTTTTTTAATGGGACCTAACATACCGTAATATGCTGGACAGATTGTTCAGAGATGAGTGAATTGTTATTATTAATTCCTCCCTGATTTGTTTATTATTAATAAAACACGCACATAGTGTGATCTTTCGCTAACGTTGGAGATAAACTCGACCTTTCGATACCTTTTCCAACAGCAAACAATAAGACTTATTTATAGAACATTACGTAATCGAAATAAACCAGAAATAGAGTAATGAAGCACGCCACTATAATCGTGTCTGTATTTCAGTAACTGGTATCATAGAGCTGCAGTATACTTTCGCTTCCATTTTCCTATGTCCATTATATGTGTTATAATGAATATAATGATGTTATTGTATTCACGTGTGACTGACGGAAAGGTTTTCTACAATAATTATTCAGCTTACGCATATACATGTGCGTACATTAGGTCATCACAAATTTTACACAGTGGGCCTATTATTGATGGTGATTCATAATAAATAAAATTTTTCTAAAATGAATTTTCGTCGAGAGTTACTAAGAAATTAGATGTTGAGTGTTGGTTTTGTAAAATAAATAAATAAAATAAAAGTATATACAATGGGATGTTATGCTATTCATGATGTCTGTAAAGTTCCCACGACATGTATATATTAATTTATATAGGCATAGATAATAGGCTTAAGCCATTTATTGTTTTCGTGATAATCTTATTTTTTACTTGTAAAGTGAAATTTGTTAATGAATGGCGTTTAAATAAAGTATTTTTGATTGATTAGCGTCGGTTTTATATATGTCTATGTTTTATTTAATATTATTATATCTTAAATCTTTAAAAAAAATGACTGAAACTCGAGAACGTCCACGGTAATTGATACCACACCCTCCTTCAATGCACTTTGGTCCCGCCCCCTTGGGCCACAGGTCCTTAATTGACTCACCCTCAACCAGGCAAAAAGTCATGATGCCCAAGTTCATTATTACAGGTTGTTTTAATATATAATAACGTAACCGTTGTTATTAAGTAATTACAGCTGATATAAATTAACATAGGATTGGATGGAATTATGTTTTGTTTTCGTTCCATTGCAAAAAAAATTAGATATTTAACATTTTACAATTCAAAAAAAAAAACCAAAAAAACAAAGTGAGCATGCCATCGTCATTTGGCACATGTCCCACACTATGTCGTAACTTTACTCACTTATTTATATTGAATTTGAATAAAAACAAAATGCAACAAAATCAACGGTTTGATGGCCCAAGAAAGATAAATTGCTTATAAATTATAGTTGGCTCGTTTGTGACTTCTCCTGACTTTCATACAAGTTACACATGCATTTATTTCCTCTACCAACCGTTTTGTACTATCTATCCCCTATTTTTAGAAAAAAAAAAAGAAGAAATCATCATCCCATTCTTCCCATTACATTGCTCTTCCTTCTATAAAATTTCCTTATTAATTCTTCCGTCTGTTTCTTTATATAAAGTTCATGTATAATTCTTTAATTCTCTATAAAACACCGGATATTGAATGAATGAATAATTAATCATGCAAGCGAAAATTTTAGACAAAAGAAATAAATGAGGATAAATAATTTAAAATGTCGGCCATTAAGGTCATGTCAGCGTTGCTTCAATGCTCTAAAGATTTGATTAGTCAAAAAGTGAAATACATAAAACAAATGAACGAGTATTAGACCTATAAAATAGAGTTTGAGTTCTTTTTAATTTTATCGATGCCTACCACATTTATATAGGCATCAACTATGATTTATCATCACTATTCACTCCACCCCGGTAATTGCAAATGCTAAAAAACAAAACTATACAGTAACACAAATTTGAATGCTTGACTCAACTTCTGTGTGGTTTTACGAATACGAATATATAATTTTTAATGTAATTAGCTCGAGGTGTTCTTAACCACTCATTAATACTGTTGTTATATTTCTATTGATTTCTTATATTTTTCCAAGGCCTCGATTTATAGACAAGTGAGTCATGGGCTTGGTATATTTATTCGTTTTCGTTTGTGCCATTGTTAAAATAGCATAATTGTTATAACAAAGCTATGTAAAGCGTTAGGGGTTAGGTTAAAGAAAGATAAATAAAGTCTAGCCTGCGTTACTGCGCGTCATTTGTTTATTTTTCACTCGCAGTGAAAATCGGGGTCGTCGTCAGGCTCCGAGTAGTTCGGTTATTATTACTGTACATTGGTTACGGGATTGGTTACTTTTACCATGCTTTTACAATGGTGAATGTCGGTTGGTATCTTGAAAATACAATCATCCATATCATGAGGACTATAAATTTTGATTTTGATTATAGTTTTTGAAAAATTATTATTAGGCCCTAAAAAGGGCTAATATTGTATCGTGCTTTCAATGATTTATACACTCATATTTTGTTCATCCTACTTTATTGTTTCTCGTCACATAAATATAATAATAATAATAATAATAATAATAATAATAATAATAATAATAATATAACGATGATGATGGTCATACATATGATGACTATTATGATGATGATGATGATGATGATGATAACGATGATGATAACGATGATGATGATGATGATGATGATGATGATGATGATGATGATGTTGATAATGATGATGACCTAACGAATATCAATGTGGTCATACTGCATTTCTGTAATATGATTTGTTCCATGAAGGTTGCGGGCAATTGACTGGAATGGGTTCTAACAAGTCTGGCAGGGAGGGGGTATGAACCAATAGTGGATGGGCCTAATTTGTACGACCATGGACCTATTAATAAGTTGGTACGACGAAGACATATTCCTAACGAATAATCTGATTTGCAAAACATAATAGGCCAGTTTTCTGCACTAGTTTATGGAGGCAGTTTCAGTCTTAAATAATCTTGTTGGCTTGCAGGAAATACGGTAGTTATACTGTAATACGAATTTTGTGTTTTCTTATCTTCAAGATCGATGAAGCGAACAAAGAGCGTGTTTGTTTATCTATTCTGTTGTGTCGACGCATATAATAAATAACCCATAGATGGCTTGTAATAAAAGGCCGTTGAAACTACACGTTCTCTTTGGGGAAATTCCCGTGAATGTATACGACTCCAGGAATATACGATATTTTCCAATAGGAACCTTCCCTTTCCTAACCGGAACGGACAAGTAACATATCCGTTGTAGAAGTGTTCATGGACAGATAGCCTATTTGAATAAACGCCCCTCGAAAAAAAAAAAAACAAAAAAAAAAAAAAAAAACCCGGAACTTTTTAATTTTTTTTTGTTTATACATCCCCATCCCACTTCCATGACATAAACAAAGGAATGGACAACACTATTGAACACATCTCACTAATATTAAACCTAGGCCTTGCTATCGTTCAAATTCCGTTTACTGTACTAAAAGAGTTGGGTCTCGTCGGGGAGAGATTCGACGCAGTTGCGTATCTACAGGGGCTTCAGGGTGCCTCATCCACTAGAAATTTGCTTAGCAAAAAAAAGGCACTAGAAGAGGTATAAAAGGTTCTGTCAGCATTTTCTTCGAAATATTTCGGCCGATAACTTAGTTTTAGCTAAGTTAGTTTATATTTATTTTACTTTCACAAAATAGGCCTAAGATTTTAATTTAAGAATAAACTTTAATCAGTAGGTCCATTTTATTCCATAAATTAAAAATGTTGGAGATAATAATGATGCTAAAAAAACTTTAAAAATATAATTATATATATATGATTGCTGTAGTTTGTTAATTAGGCTAAATTAGCTATTATTTGAAAATATATTATATTATATTATATTATATAGAACATATAGATGTGTATAAGAGACAGATATATATAGTCCTATATATATTCTTTTGATAGTCCATTTATTGGCTTTTGTAGTAAAAGGCTAGTAATTTAGTGAAAATGTATTTAGTGAAAATGGTTAGGTCTGTATTATATTGGAAGTATTATTAAATATTCATTCTGTAGGCCAATTTTTTTCCCAACAACCACGCTGCTGAGTGTCATTTCAAATACTCTTAGCACAGGCCAATGATTTCCCGCTGGTTTCTATCGGTTTATTGGGTCATCATAACCTTTCAGAAGATACCTCAGACATTGGTGGTTCAATACTGTTGATTATTAACCCAAATCCAATACAGTATATAGAAATCGACACTGCGTTCCTCGAAGGGTTTAACACGGCCACATTTCATGTACTTCATCACCTAATGACATTTCAACACGTTTTTACGATAACAATTAGACAAAAAAATAAATAAATATAAATTTGTATCGAAGATGAAAACATGACATGCACGATGGGACTGAATTGGACGAGACAACACGTAATACAAGATGTTCAGGTTAGTGTAGTCTTGTGCTGTGTTCCAACTTAAAGATAGTTTCAACTTCTTTTTTTTTTCGTGTTTGTCATCGGTATAATATTTTGTTTATATAATCAATATATTTGGTATAATTACTGTATATGAATAAATATTTATATATATTACACCTAATTTCAAGCAGGACTTTATGCGTACACATAATGTAAGTCTTCGTTTAAAGTCAGTGTTGATATTGATGACATATTAATAATTTTAATTTATTGTACTATTTCGAAATTGATTGCAATTTAACTGATGTTTAGTAAATTGTGATTCATGGTAATGATGGAAATTATATAAGACTTGGCTACTTTGATATTACGTGGTTCTATTAATACGCCCAAGTAGGCAAATAGCCAATCAAAAAGTATCATAGCTGTGTGACGTAGTAATGAATAATGCATGACTGCGGACCACTTACTGATAATTTTTGTAGGCTGGAGGCCGTGGTGCGCAGCTGTTATACCTAAAAATAGAAACAATTATGATGTCATTGTTATTATGGCACCGTGATTGGATTGCTAGAACGAGGCTTTATGTAGAGAAGAATCACTCGGCGCCATTGGAACTGCAGGGAAGTATAGCTGGCAAGACAGACGTTCTGTAAATTTACAATATTTTTTTTACTAAAACACATAGAGGAACCAATATTTGTTATTAATCTATCATCTGAATCTTGCCAAACGCAGTTATTTTATTACAAGCTGCTAATTATAAGTCAAAAACCACAGACGGTTTATCTCTCCGACTACTCACACGCCTACCCTACCGTACCGACCGTGTTGAGGTGCTGGATTTTGTTTATGTACAGCTAGCCTGTGTGTATTGCTTACCGGTAAATACCCTTTCGTTTAGGTAGGCCTAATCGTCCAGCTGTAAGTATCAGAATAGCATTCTATCTAGCTTTAGGATCCATATATTCCTCCTTGCGAAGAGGAGGTACTTTTTACGCCAGTCTTCTGTTGGTCAATATACCCTATGCCTCCATTTGGTACCGAAATTTCCGACGGTAAATCAGTAATGGAATCGATTAGTTTGCGTTCGTCGAAATGTTGTGCTGCTACTGCTGCCTCTTCGCCGAAACCGAACCGGTTGATTGCGAGGTCTGCTACCCCGAGTACGAAACCTAAATCAACTCCGAATTCTCCGAAGCATATTATAAACAATTATACACGACCAGTCAGTAGTAGTACTCCACATTTAACTTACAATTTGACGAATTCTCCTGTTTTCCGTCATCGTCGACCGGAGTGCAAGCCGACTGTAAAAGGAGCGCATAGTAGGCCTCGGCCAACATCATGTGTTCGCCACATAAATGCTTGTGAACTCTACCAAAAATTTCACGGGAGAATAGCAAAACCGAATGAGAATATTATTATCATTGATAGTCGTCCTTTTACTGAATTTACTAAGAGACATATTCAGGGTGCTTTTAATGTGTTGATGAATCCGATGAGAAGAAGGCGTTTACTCGATGGAAAAATGACGGTAGCTGATATGATAAGTTGCGAGAGGGGTCGTCTACAATTGAAGAATAGAGCAGTACATGAAGTAGTTTTGTACGATGAGGACTCGGACACATTAGACAATGTTCCCGCCAATAGTGCAGTCAAGTGTCTTGTCACGTCCCTTGAAAAAGAAGGAGCAATATCGGTTTTTTTACTAAAAGGTTAGTTCAATTCTTCAATCTTTGGATATTCCTGTGCTTGTTTGTACATAATTAATAATATTCTACTTTTTTCATTAATTCTACATTGTGGATATTGTTCCAACAACAATTTTACACAAATCTGAGGTGTTGATTTGTGGAACTGGTTTGACCATAACCTTAAACCCAGTCTTGCTATCCTAATACATTACAGCATGTCAAAACGGTGTCCTTTTCCTTTCTATGACAATAAATGCTTCAAAGTCAGAAATGTAGTCATGAAAATATGCAAAAAATACTAGATATTCAAGCTCTTTATGTTTCAATAATGAATTATGGATTGCAATCTGGAGTTGTTTACTGTCTTCGCGTATGATGATCCAGCCATATGTGCCTGTACTGTACTTACAAAGCTGATAAATTATGCAACTTTGGACTTCACATATCACAATCTCTAACTGCTGTCTTGGCTTTGGGGTTATTTATAGTTTATTTAGATAACACACCAACATTATCAATTGACATATGTTTTAGTACCAAAATAATGATAACAGGCAGGGCTAGTCTGTTTTATTTCAGATGTTACATATTTAAAACAAATTTATGCTGCTGGGTTTATGTATTTGTACCGTATTTTAATTTTTGATAATTGTAAATAAATTATTCATAATTCTGTATTAACATTAAATATAGTACATTTAGCACTTTAGATACCATTCTGCTGTATGCTAAAGACTTTGGCCGTATTCGACGGGTCGTTCTTCGTTTAACCACACCCACCTGCGCAGTGGTAAAATCCTACTTAACGAAGACGACCAGTCGAATAGAAAACTGGTAAACACCTGACAAAACAAAATGGCTGCATAGTTACAGTACCACGATACACGCTGCATAATCGAGGCTGCTTCGCAATGTGGCAGTATGGGGTTTTTCGTAAAAAATGATTTAATCTAAATTACATTAATGCAGACGTTGTTGCTAAACTGACCAATCGGCCATATTTCTGTTGGTCACGTGGATAACAATGCTGATAAACACATTCTGGTTACGTTATTTTTTGTTGTCAACAAAGTCTATTTTACTGTACAAACCAATCGAATGAAAATAATACTCAAGGAAAATTTGTACTCAACGAATTAACCAGTAAAATATGCCCTATGATTATGACGATGTTAATAATTTATGTACTGATATTTTAGGTGGAATGAAAGAATTTGAAACACAGTACCGAGATATGTGTAATATTGGAAATGAAGTAAAAAGTAGCAAATGTGAGAGTGAAGAAACCGTCAACACGCCTTTGCTAGAGCAAGTGGAAAGCTGTTTTTTAAGGGCCACCAAAGAAGGACCAGGCCAACCATCTCAAATTGTACCTTGCATATACATCGGTGGTGACAAGGAGGCCGCAGATCTAGATGCCCTCAACAAAAACAACATCGGCCACGTTCTTAATGTGACCACGAAACTACCAAACTATCACGAAAAAACTTCGAATATTTCCTATAAGAGAATACCGGTTAGGGACGATAATTGTGCAGATATTTCGCAGTATTTTGACCAAGCATTTGACTTCATTGGTAAGTTCACATCAGTAGGACCTATAATTAATATACACATATTCGACTACAATGCTTTGAATTTTATTTAGTTTAATACAGTAGATGACCAGTCATAGTGATTTATATATTGGCTGCCAAAGATGTTTAATTATTTTGTATTTCCTAATAATTCAAGCAAGCTAGATGGGTTTTTTATTTTGGTCAATTGTTTTAGTTAACCTTGGCTAGATATATTTTTGTACTTTCCTAATGCTTATATTAAAAATTGTTACTAATAATACAAGAAAACCGCATTTTTAAATTGCTTATTTCCCATCAAATTCGATTAGACAATTATGTATTCAATTTAGGTTCGTGTCACTTGGAGACAGTAGAAATCTGGTCAAAATGGAAAACTTTTTTTGTAGAATTACAGTTTGTGGTTGATAAATATGAGACAAAAGTCAGCTGTTACGTGATTAATACAGTGTATTCGTAATGCAACCATAAAACTTTATCATTGGAATTTAATACTCAAAAATGTGCTGAAATGGGCAGAATCTTTTAAATTTTCACACTCCTCCTCAATTACCAATGGAAGTTATAAGAGATTCAAAGGACTGTTTAATAAAGTAATTGTTTTAAAATATTTCCTTTAAAAGCTGTACTGTACATACTGTTTTTCGTTCTTCCTTAATTAAATGTATTAATAAACATTTTTAATTGTAGTCTTTCAAATTTAAATTGGAAATCTGAACACTATTTAACCCTACTAGTTCTCATTTAAATGATTTTTTTTTCTGGTGCTGAGCGATTAGAATGAAATTCTAATCTCAATGCCCTAGCCGAAGCTAAGCTTTTGATGTAGGAAGAAATTTCATAATAAATATGTTAACAGTACAGTATTCTAAAATTGGAATAAGGAAGTCCAGAGTAGAAATACTGTAGACTTGAAAAAATGACATGTACTACTGGTATGTGTTGGCCCCTTCTGAGTTATTGTCCCCTTGTTTAGTACTGTATTCCATTTATGCACAGGTTTACATATTACACCAGTTGAATGATTATAACTGTATTGACAGTGACTTCTTTTGTAGACACTTAATAAGCCTTTTGAAAAAACGATCAAAAGTTATTTTCTTTCTGTCTGAGTGATTTCTTGCACAATTTTGTATTTTTCCAAAAAAAATCAACCTGATTATGCAAAGGAAATACCTTTAAGATGTGTATAAGAGACAGAAGAAAGATTAAACAGTAATTGACCAGTCCAATTTTTGTTTAATTCCTAAAATTATAATGATTAATACAGTGTTACCGATACTCATCTTTTATTTTTAAACTGGAAGTGTCGGGTGACTATGCTGTCATTTTAGTTTCATGAAACAAAAGCAGACATATCAAGTATCAGATGATGGAAACTAAAGGAAATATGCTCAATTATTTTTACATTATAGAAGACAGAACAAAACAAATTAAATACACCAAAAAAATTTCACAGATTTCCTTTTCACATTACATACAGTTCTGTTTGTTTGTCTGGAACAAGATTAGTCAAAAATAATGTTTATTTTATCACAATTGGTCATATTTGCAAAGTTCGTTCAAGTCAAACAGTTAATTTATTACCATAATTAACTGAATTGATACAGAATTCTAATGAGCATTATTGTGTTTTTGTTTTCATCAGACCTAGCACTGAAGAAAAACTCGGGTATCTTGATCCATTGCCAAGCTGGAATTTCAAGATCGCCAACCGTAACCATCGCTTACATCATGAAGAAGAACTACCCACACATGACGATGTCACAGGCGTACACGCTAGTGAAAAACAGACGCAGCGTAATCTCCCCAAACCTCCATTTTGTCGGTCAGTTGGCTTCGTACGAACAGAAACTAAAATCATCCTCAAGATCTGTTGAGCAGAAACGGTGTCCATTGGTGGCCTCGCGGTCTAGTACGCCGGTTGAAAGTGCCGTGTGAACTGAAGTTGTTTTTCTTATGTGCCGTGTGAAAGTTATCATATTGCGAAGAAGCAGTATGGTTTGAGGAATGTAAACTTGCTTGGGTGATTTGTATAGAGGTGTACTTTGTGATTCTGCCGTAAGATTTTTTTATGCGTGTGAGAGGTTAGGAAGAGCATTAACCTATTCCATTACTGTAGCATAAAGCTCAGAGTGAACACAGCTTAACAGTGGGTAGATAGGTATACAGTACTCTAATGTAATTTGTACATATTTTATAGGTGCTAAAGTTAAAGACACAGAATGCAATGACCTATAATGCAATCATTGACAGCTTTTAAACATGAAAATCCTAATCAAAAATTCATTGGTGTCTATGTTTTTTTTTTTTGTTGTAAAAAGATGTACATTTTATGTAAGATCATAGGTATTATCGCCTACTGTATTTAACAAGCACGACATTGTATGCTACAAGTCAAGAAAAACGACCTGCCGCACTGTACAATCCATTTACACAGCACATGACAGCAATCATCATGTATGCAACATATGCTGTTTGTTCTGCTGTCTTAATGCTTAGCGAGGGATGACAGGAGTCAATGATAGACCAATATATTTTCTGTAATGTGAAAGTTTTTGAAAACAAATGATTCTATGCCAATTGCATTTGCTTCGCATTCAGTGAGGATCACTATAAGGAATATAGTAGGTTGCATTCTTCTGCTGATACGTATGACTGTCGTGCTCTGTTGAAGACAGCTGTTCCAAAAGAAAACTATTTTTGAATTTAGGATTTCCATAAATTAAATAAATCATTTTAAATATACATTGATTTTGAAAGATATTTTTTTCTCGGACAAATATAGTGTATATTGATGTTTGTTTTTATTTACAAGCCTTTATATTACAGAATATCTACAATCAGTGATGAGTTCTTAAATGAGTTGCCTGGTTACAAGCATCATTCGATTATATTGTTTTTTGTCAGTGAGTTTAAACGTGCAAATCTGTGGAACTTTTTGTTGGTACCTGCATTATTGCCGTCGTCGTTAATTTCATCAGTGTTTTTAATGTAATTTATGTGTATAATAAATTGATTAATTTAGTTAAATAAGCAACTTTATTCTCCCCTTATCTCTCTCGTTGAAGTGTTGCCTTCAGTGAAGTTTAAATTTTGATTTTATTTTGTATATTTACATCCTAAAGCCTGTCTAACTTGATTTCATTCAGCAGCAGGTGTGATAGTAGATGGAATTTGTTCATCATTATTTGCATATCCTGCAGTAGCTGGTGGTGCATTAATTTTGAATCAAACTTGCTCTTTAAAATTTAGGTTTTTAATTAATTGGCAATTTGTCAGTTGTTGCGCCTAGAGGGCTTAGAAATTGCGCCGTAAAAGACCAACATTTTTTTTATTACAACATTATGATATAAATTTATAGCCATGATTTGTCTTGCTAACCATTGTAAATTTATTCTTCATTTCCCTCGTGTTTAAAATTCATTCTAATCGAACTGTTATATTATATTAACATATGACATAATTTAGTTGTTAAATATTTACATAAAAGAATAATAATTGATGGAAATACCATCAGATATATTCTTTATTTGGAATTCTGTAGAATTATATTTAAAAAAAAAGAAGAAAAAACAACATTTGGGCCAATGTGGATGTCATTAATTAGTTTAAAGTATTTACTTATATGATAACCAAGGAAAATAAATTTCCCTATATTCAAAGCTATTATAAAGAGTAACATTTATATTAGATGTTATATAAATGGAGAATAGGTGTTTTTTCGACCAAACTTTCATCAAATATTGGCAGCAGCACTGTTGATGAGAATGATCAAATCAGTCAAATTGTCTGATTTATTATATTTTGGATCATTCGTTTTTCATTCCCAGTAAATAAGTTTGAAAATTAGAAACCATAAAAAGTAAAAGAAAAAAAATAGATAAATATAAAATAAATGTAAACCGAATACTACAGTATTTGTGTGTTTTTATTACTCGAATTTGAAACCGATTGATGTATATTTCACTTTCCTATTTGTTATAATACTGTACTGTAATATTATGTGTTGTGAGTGTAGTCCCAAGTTGAATGACGTCATCAACCGATTTACAGTGGATGTATTTCCGTTTTGAAAAGGAGGTTATGGTGACTATAACGTTTTGTATGCTGAAGTTCAGATGCTTGTTTTGGTTTGAACCTCTCGGAATTTTGCTTAATCCCTGAATTAATATGAGCAAAAAACATGAAAATAGTTCAAGTAACATTTATATTATATCATTCGTCATGACTGGCATGACCCACAATTATGGGTTCATCTTCATCAGTTCCATAACCTGTTGGCTAGCAGTCAAGATCGTGGGAGCACTTCACAATTTCCATCCATTTTTGTCTTTTTTCGGTTGCCCTTCTAACTTTAACGGCGCCCAATTTTGTCCATTCAGTGATGTTGTTTATGGGGTCCTACTGTCATTGAATCAAGACCCTACCAACATCTGAGGTGTGCGGATCGAATAGAATCTCTACTTTTACTTCTACTTGGTAACTGGAAGAAAGTCATTTAAATTTATGCATTACTACATGATCATTCTGTTTCCGTTTTCTGTTTCTAAGAGGACATGTTAATGACCGCAACGAAAGCTATATGAAATCTCTGTGAAATCACGATTTCTAATCGTGTCACAACGTACGTGACGCGTGGATGACAATACAATACCCCAAACACAATTCGCAACGTCATCCCGTTACCAAACGAAATGAGTGGTGGGTTTCGTCAACTAAACGTGATTAGTGCGTCATGAATAACAATATTAATTTTTCACAAAGTATGTCATGCACCCGGATATAGAGAACAGAGAAATGTTTCTTTTCCATCATGAATCAAAACTTATTTTTCTAAAAATGTATACACCTTCCACGTTTAGAGTAAATTCCAACGTATCAGAAACGATTGATTGATATTTTATACTGTAACACCTAACAAAAACTTTATTTCTTTCTCTTTTTGTTATTTTTTACATTTTTTTTTGTCATCAACGACATAAAAAATATCAAGAATCAAGGAAATTGAAATTAAATTGCACAGGATATGGGGGTCAGTCCACCATGGCTGACTAAATTGTTCAACTTCGGTTTTACCTGCATTATCATTTACGTTAACATTCTAAATTAAATCATTATCTCAAAAACAATTTTTGAAAAAGTGCATCCATTCAGAATTGTGTATACGATTTAGAACACATACAATGTGCAGATCCACTCATATACATATATGCGTATACATACGCACCTTATTATCATACACACATAAACATTTAATATTTAATTTTTTTTCTTACATATACACATACACACACATACATAAGTCTATATTTATTTATTTATTTATTTATTTTCTCTTTAATGGTGAGAACACCATATTTATACTTCATAATCATAATAAGCCTAGGGCTACATCTCTCATACTGTAATAATTTTTTGTTAACAAAAACTTATAGCAAAATTCTCAACCTAACTTTTTTAAAAGTGCTCTGGAACAGTGTATGCGAGTCTAAGTTTGACTAACAGACGAAAAACCAGAAGACCTATTCGTTATGGGCCAAGAACTTTGCAATATTAGTTTATGATTCATAATTTTAATGGGCCAAGAACTTGCGGTATTAGTAACTTTTGACTAATTTTCTTGTTTATTGAAATTTCGAACATACTGTAATTGTATTGTATTCAACCTTTCGACTAAATATAGCGTGGGACGCGATGACGAAATTTGAATCATCGGGAACGATACTAGATAGCGCCCTCTTACGTTTGAGTATACATTTATCAACAATCAACACTCAGTTTGCTTGGATACGAGATACGAAATATGGCGTCCATGGATGCAAATTCTAAAGTAAATACCGACGATATAACGAAAGATTTACCAAGCTTGCAGTTTGAGAACGGTCTTTCGGAAATAGAAAAAGATTATCTGTGTTTACGGTCTAGGACTCATGCATTGACAGTTTCTGTGTGTGCACAGGCGACGTATTTTGTAGCCATTCTTAATGAAGCCAGGTAGGCTAGCCTAGTTTAGCTAGCCTAGGCCAGGCGGCCTGCTGCTGCATGTGTCTTGTGTTTATGATTGTTTTTCACACGCAGGACAGATGATACCACACCGGCCCAGGACCTACTACGACTACTACAAGGCCTACTACTACTACACGACTAATAATTGGCATTGGCTCAGCAGAGCAAATGAAAATAACTAGCCTACCTATATATGGACCTAGCCTATTCCTAGTAGTGTGGACATAGGGCCTAGGCCTACTTAGGCCTAGTTGGTCGTTTCGCATGTCGTAATTTTCCCCC